CCTGCCCCTCAAATGTCACCTTCTCAGTGAGACCATTACTACCCACCCTCTCAACATGCTATCAAACCTTTTACTTTGTTTTTTCTTATTTTTTGATACTAATTATAGTTATTGTTTGCTAGCTGTCTCCTCTGCTGGAATGACAGCTCCATGAGAGCATGGATTTTTGTCTTTGTTTAGTGCTGCGTTCCCAGTGCCCTGGCATTATTGGCATGTAGATGCTCTATAAACATTTGTTGAATGGATGGTTGAATGAGTGGTAATTCCAACCCTTCAGAGATACTTTTAAATGTTTGGTGCTTATCTCCTACCCCAGCACAGTGTCTAGCACATAGTAGACATTTAATTAAGGTCTGTGGAAACAGTGAACGAATGATTGCATGACGAGTTATTTTTTCTTTACATTTACCTACCTTATCTCTTTTAACATAATCAGAAACACATTTATAAAGAATGTTGTGGCCACCGGCTAGCTTAGTTGGTTAGAGTGTGGTGCTCATAACATCAAGGTCCAGGGTTTGATCCCTGTGGCCAGGCACACAAAAAAAGAATGTCGTATCTTTTAAAAAGACAAGATTATAAATATCACCAGTATCTTTTCATGTCCTTAAATATTCTTCGAGAAGTTTTTTTTTTTTTTTGGTGGCTGGCTGGGAACAGGATCCAAGCTCTTGACCTTGGTGTTACCAACAGCATGCTCTAATCAACTGAGCCAACCAGCCACCCTAAGAAGATTGTTTTTAATGGCTGCATAAGAAGCCATCCTATCAATGAAATCTAATTTGTTTAACNTTTTTTTTTTTTTTTTTTTTTTTGGTGGCTGGCTGGGAACAGGATCCAAGCTCTTGACCTTGGTGTTACCAACAGCATGCTCTAATCAACTGAGCCAACCAGCCACCCTAAGAAGATTGTTTTTAATGGCTGCATAAGAAGCCATCCTATCAATGAAATCTAATTTGTTTAACCTCTTTCTTACTGAACATCTAACGTTATAATAACTATTTTGCTATTATAAATAACTCCCCCTTCCCCCTAAAAATCCAAGCGGCTAAATATTTGTGTAATCTCTAATTATTTCCTTTCAATAGATTACCACAAATGGAACTGCTGGGTCACAGGGAATGTACATCTTTAAGATTTAATAATAGCAACAGCTCCCATGTTTCAAGCATTCTATGCATCAGGAAGCATGGTGCTAAGCCGTGTAATTTTAACAACGGGAGCTATGATTATCCATCCCTGTTTAGCAGAGGAGGAAACTGAGTCTTAGATAAGTAACTTCACTTGCTCCAAGTGACACACTAATAGGTCAAAGCCAGCTAAGATTCCCAGGCACCTCTCCACTGACTGCCCTCTGCTGCCTCCCCACGGCCTGGGACACACATTGCCAAATTGTGCTGTAGGTATCCGGTTCAGGATCCCACCAGCATCCAGAAAGAACATGCCCTTTAAACTATCCTCACCAGCATTAAACATTCTCATTTTTGTGCTCTTTTGAAATCTTTGTGTTTTACAGAATCTCTGTTTTTTTTAAAAAGCAAGACCTCTAGCTGAGATGATGATACCTTATTCAGGTCATAGTGATGGGAGAAGGCCAGGTGCAGTCTTTACCTCTTTAATGCCCTGCACAAATTTCAGAGCCTTAGGTTCTAGCACCCTTATTTGAGGAAGCCCCCTTTTAACTTAGTTGGGGGTCCCAGTCAGAGGTCAGACCCCTGGAACAATCCTAGTGGCAGACCTGTCCCAAAGGCTTCCTCAGAGTGGGCAATCAGGCCCTGCTACTTCAGGGGCCCAAAAAAGCCTCCTACAGAGGGCTTCCTGGAAGCGTGATGAGGAGGTGACCCTCAAAAAAGATGGAAACAGGAGAGGAGGATGAGGAGGATTTGCCCTCATAAAAATGATAGATTTTAGTACATCAAGGAAAAAGAGGAGCTGCAATATGTGGATGGCAAGCAATGCTTTCTGTCCTTCATATGAAAAGAGCATTTACAAGTCAATAAGAAAGAAATGGTAATATACAACAGAAAAATAGGCAAAAGACATGAACAAAAATGAGAAATACAGACAACAAATAAGAAAAATCGAATTGGCAAATAAATTAATGAAATGAATATTAAACTGAGACTTTTTTTGGTCTCTCAGGAAAATCTTTAAGTATTATAATCAGTGCTGATTATATACAAGATAAAAGCCACTCTTACTCCCAATTTGTGGACTGTGATTTGGGACAGTCTTTTGGCAATATTCATCAAGAGACTTTACAATGTTGTCTACCCTTTGATAAAGCAATTCCACTTCAAGGAATTGATCATAAAGAAAAGAAAGAAATAGACGAAAGTGTATATGTGAAAATATTTGTTACTAGTAAGAGCTATTTTAGTAAGAATTTTTATTGTCATGTTTTTTTTCAATTATTAATATTATCATAATGTACTTAAATCCCCTATTGTTGGACACTTAGGCTGCTTCCAATTTTTCCTGCTCTCTATGCCAGATCCTCTCTAAACACTATACCTACATGATCTTATCTAATCCTCTCCGCTAATCTATAAAATGGGATCCTTGGTCTCACTTAACAAGTGAGGAAACTGAGGCATGGGAGTAGGGTGAGAGAAGTGGAAGTCCTACCACTTGTAAGCAGCTCTGCTCAGATTTTAACCAAGAAGTCTGACTTCAAAACTGAGCCCCTAAAGACTGCTCAAATTAATTCAATAAATATATCCATTGAATGCCATCTGTGTGCCAAGCATGTTGAATAATAATAACTGCATACGTTTACTGAGCATCCTATTTAATAAGCCCCATGCTATGCACTTTACATGTATTACCTCATTTAATCTCCACAACAACCCTATGCACGATCGTTATCCCCATTCTCCAAATGTGTAGACTAAGGCACAGAGAGGTTAAGTAACTTCTTCAAAGTCACATAGGCAGCAGGCTTCAGGATCTGGGATCTTAACTATTTCTCTTCTTTTTCAGAGAAGAAATGCTTGAGAGATAAATAATAAACACGTGAAAAAATAAATAGCATAAAATAAAGTGATGAGCAGAACTAGAAAGAAAAATCCAATGTCATAGAACACATCCAAACAGCCATAAAAAGAATGTGGAAGACACAGGACCCAGCAATCCTACTCCTAGGTATT